ATAGCACCAACCCCCCCCCCCCCCCCCCAAATGCCCACTTTCTGGAAAGTAGACACCCCAAGCAATTTAAAAAGAGGGCATGGTGAGTATTTTGCAGATCTAATTTTTTCTCACAAGGTTTCGAAATATAAAAAAAAAAATATATATGTTTTTGTTTTTTTTCTTCATTTTCCAAAAACTTGTGGCAACAAAGGAGATCTGAAAAATGCTTACCATGCTTCTTATCAAATTCCTTGGGGTGTCTACTTTCCAAAAAGGGGTCATTTTGGGGGGTTAGGTGCTATCCTGGCATTTAAGGGCCTCCGAAACTGTGATAGGTAGTCTGGAAATGTAATGAGGAAATAAAGTCCTTTAAAAGCCTGAAGGTGCTTATTGGATTTTGGGGTCCTGTACTTGGCTAGACTACCAAAACATCTCTCACATGTGGTACCCCCATACTCGGGAGAAGTAGCAGAATGTATTTTGGGGAGTAATTCCACATATACCCATGGCATGTGTGAGCAGTAAAGCATTTAGGTGACAATTTTGTGTAAAAAAAAAAAACAAAACACGATTTTGTCATTTTCCAAAAACTTGTGGTAAAAAAATAAATTCTTCTATTAATTCATTATTAATTCAACATGCCTCTCAGCAAATAGTTTGGGGTGTCTACTTTCAAAAAAGGGGTCGTTTTGGAGGGTGGGGGCATTTTATGCCCAGCATTAGAAGTTTATGCCACACATCACTCACTCTTCTAACCACCTGAAGATCAAGCCTTTTCTGACAGTTTTCTGTTCACATGAAAAAAATCAGTATTTTTTGCTAGGAAATTAATTTAAACCTCCAAACATTATATATTTTTTTTTAAAGCAGAAACCCTAGTGAATAAAATTGTGGGTACTACAATTTTTTATGGCACATAGTAATCGCGCAGCGATTTTTCAAATGCAATTTTGTTTTAAAAAATAATTTTTTTTTTACTTTTAATGCACAAAAACACAATATATTGGCCAATTATTTGGTAAGATATAAAAGAGGATGGTATGCCGAGTAAATAGATACCAAACATGACATACTTTAAAACTGCGCATGCCCTGTGCAATGGCGACAAACTGCATACATTTTTAATATCCATAGGCAACGCTTTAAAAGCCTTTAAAAGCTACTATTTTAGATTTACAGAGAAGGTCTAGTGTTAGAATTACTGCCCTTGATCTGACATTCACGGCGATACCTCACATGTATGGTGCAACTGCTGTTTACATACCGGCACAGGGTCAATGCTTGCGCACAGAGGTGTGCGCGCATGGGAGGGGTGAGTTTTTTTTAACTTATTTTGTTTTTTTTTTAATTATTTTTACACTGTACATTTCATTTTTTTTTTTTATCACTTTTAATGCTATCACAGGGAATGCAAATATCCCCTATAACTTCAATGTGCATTGTCATATATTCTTTTTGAGAAATCTGGGGTCTGTCAGACTCTGGATATCTCCTCTGCCCTTACATTATCTAATCAAACCAAGATTGGTGTGATCAGATGCTTTCCCAATTTACAAATGGTGCTGTTTATATCCTGCGAAACTGAAGTGATGAAATGCTCGTAGCTTCCGAATTCTTAGACTATAGAGATGATTGGCCCCACTCTGGTCTCCAATCAGCTCTATGGTCAGCTGGCAGAAACCCCGGCTGCATTCTCAGGTTCCCCCGATGGCACAGGACTGCCTGAGAAGGCCATGGAAGGCAGCGGGGGAGGGGGGGGGGGGGCATCATATCCCACTGCTTGTAAAAGCAAACCTGCAGCTAATATGCCACTAGGATTGCTTTTACATGAAAGCCGGCTGGAAAAAACAATACCAGGATGATGCCTGCAGCTGTAGGCATCATCCTGGTATAATCATTCAAAGTCCAGTGATGTACCGGTACGTCGCTGGTCCTTGTTGGGTATATATGCTATGTTCTTTTTTTTTTTTTGTATGCAGTTTGTGGACTGAATGAAAAAAAGAGAAGAAATTTTTGCCAGAAAAAAGTGTGTGGTATGCCCACCATTAGAATATACCGCCCTGCATCCACCCACTTCTAATGGTGGGCACACATTAGGTCACACTTTGCCACATGTGCCAGTTCCAAGATTGTACAAATGTTTAAATAGTGGCACGCTTGAATAAAAATTGTCCACGTATAAGTGGTACCCCATATGGAAAAAGGATGACACCAAGTCCCAAACTATCTTGTCACTGCTCCCCATGTAGTCTGGGCATCCAGGGGGCTCCACGTGACTATCTTTTCCCTCGTAAATCCGAAACTTATATGTATAGCCTGTTGTCCTCTCACAGGTTTTATACATCGTGACCCCATATCTGGCACGATTGCTGGGGAGAAATTGTTTGAATGTAAGGCGGCCAGAAAAATAAATCAGGGACTCGTCAACGCAGATTTTTTGCTGGGGAGTATAGACATCTGCAAATTTTTGCTTAAGCTGATTTGTGAGGGACTGGATTTTGTGGAGCAAATCAAATTCAGGATTACCCCGAGGATGACAGAGTGTATTGTTGTTGAAATGCATAAAACACATTATACTCTCATATCTATGCCTGGCCATGGCAGCAGAGAACACGGGCATATGATGAATCGGGTCTGTGGACCAAAACAACTGCAATTCATTTCTTTTAGTAATGCCCATGTTGAGGGTTAGGCCCCAAAAAAATGTAAATTCAGAAACCGTAATGAGTTTCCATGCGACTGGTCTGGCAAGGTTTGAATTTGGGTTGGCTGCGATAAATTTTTGTGCATATAAATTGCTTTGATCCACAATCAATGCATACAGATCTTCCGTGAAAAACAGCTCCAAAAATCAAGGAGAGTAGTTAAGGTGTCCGTTTGTGAACCAGCGGTAATAGATCGCTGCTCAGTTCTCCGGCATTCTCGGAGAACACAGTTCTCCTGTGAATGCAGTTTATGAAGCAGTTCTCCGAACGAAGAGAGAACGGTCTCCAAACGCTGGAGAACGGTCTACAAACTCTGAAAAACGGCTCATTTTACTATAATCTCTCGAGATTATAGTAAAAGATCAGTTTACTAAACAGAGGTAAACTATCTCTGCTTAGTTTTCGGTCCCTCTGATTCTCCAGCTCTGGGCTGGAGAATCTGGAGGGAGAACACAGATCTCCAGAGAAGGGCTGACATGATCTCCTGAATGTCATAAACTGTGAATGACCAGAGAATAGCTGAGATCTGTTGAATCGCAGCTATTCTCTGTGTCATAAACGGACACCTAAATTTGCTATATCCACGTGAATTCCGGGTTGGGCAGTGAATGGGGGAAGTACGGGTGCTGCAGAATTTGTGGGCTATCAATCAGATTTGCAAGCACATCCGGAAGGATACTAGGAGCTCTATGGGCCTGTGTAAAATAATAATAATAATAAAAATTGCATATTTGCTGTATTATAGGGTCACCCAATGGGACTATGCACTGTTTACTTTTAGTGATTCGGTTTGCCTGATTTCGTTTTACCATTGTATGCATGTGTAGCTAAAACATTTTTTTTGCTGTTGTGGATTGAGTGGAGAGCTGGTAAAATTATCTGTCAGGTTATGATTGCTGTCTGTGTTCCTCCTGAGAAGATTAACTCTTTATTTTTCCTGGTGACCACAGTCACCAAAACCAAAGGTGATAGGAATCAACAATTGTACAGTTGTCACCAAAACAGGAGTAAAGGGGAAAACTTCAAATGGGAGTATTTGTATGCGTGACAACTGTGTAAAATGGGGACTCCTTCAGTTTGGGTAGATTTCCTCTTACTTCCTGTTACATCTCCAAAACAAGAATTTAAAGGAAATCTCCTCAATAGAATTTAGACAGCAAAAACAGACCAAGGGATTTTTACCTTTCCATACTATATTCTATACCAAAAAAAAACACAAGATAACTATACATGTAGAGTATGAATATTATGTAGATTAGCTGTTATACTGTTCTCACGTGTTGGCCTACAGTTAAGTGTATTAAACACCAATGTTGTGTAAAAAGTTCTATGTTTGCCTTGTAAATTTAATTGTGTAAGGCTTTTTTATAGTGGAGTGAGTACAGTAAATGTTTAATAAATACCTGTTGATCCAGCCAGATTCTGTTCTTCATTGAGTCCTTTATTTAATAGAGTGACAACACTATCCCACCATCTCCCAATGCTGCAGAAGAGTTGTCACCCTCCTTGAGTAAACTACAAGCAACCTTGCTTTCCTTCAGTCTGCCATAGTGGACACTACCTGCTGGTGTACTGACAGCTACACTGACCATTTAGCAGCAAAGTCTTACAAATTGATGCTACTAGCAACCTTAAACCCTTTACGCCAGCCGCACACAAATGTGCGGCCTTCCGGCGTCTGGGCCTAGACGTCGAGCGGCCCGCACATTTGCGTTCATGTAAGAAAAAATGCCCCACCTCTCGGTGTCTGAAACTCTTAAAGGGCCGGGAGGCGCCGGCGGGAAGGGGTTAACCTCCCTGGTCATATCAGTATTTCTGTGCTCAAAGCAGTACATTGTTTTCAATGGAAATATGTTGTTTTTTTTATTGTAGGCCTGTAATTTTTGGGAATTACTCACTGAAATCTGTCCGAACAAGAGTCTAGTAAACATCCCGGGTATGATAAAATTTTTAAACACGAAATCATAAATTATAATATAATAAATAATAATAAAAAATAATAATTTAATAATAAATTTAATTCAATAATGTAATCAAACCAAAAACACTGAAATTTGAAATAGAGCGCCAAGTTCGCACATCACTGAGCAAAGTCGCAAAATCGTTTTCAATGTCTGTTGACGAATTTCCCCACGAATCATTATCACTCAATTCTGCAAGTGGTTCTAATTTACTATCGCTGTTCTCCAGCTGGTCTAAAACCGATTTTGACCTAAGGAGATGCTTTTTGGATGCCATGGACGTTTCTCAGTTTCCAGGCAGAAAGAAGAGTAAAAATGCAGGCGGGGCACAAGACAAAGCACTCGGGACAAAATGTATGTGAAATGGTTTGATACAGTAATGTAATATTATCAGATTTTAGTGTATTGAGTGAATGTTGAATTTTTACATTTTTGAAATTCCCGCCGGTTCTGTCCGCCTATGTCCCGTACGTCCCGACGCTCACAGGGAACGGAACCTGGAAGACGTGGCCGGAGACACTGCAGGGAGGATATTGCGGGACTTCAGGACAAGGTAAGTGCTCGAGGGATCACAGAAAAACGCTGAAGGGTAATCCTGAGTGTAGCTCAGGGTAACCACTTCTGGTACTGAAAGCTAACCCCAAGCTACACTCGGGTATACCGCCAGGGGGGTTACAGAGGACACCCCCTCCTTTAAAATCACCAATTCTGTTTTAGGCTCTTTTCACACCAATGCGTGTTTTAGTGCTTTTTGCAGAAATGCACTGCAGTCCATTTAACATGAACATGTTCACATCTATGCTTTTTTGAGCTGCTGCATTTTAGCAAAGGGTCAGGGTCTTTTTTAAAAGCAAAAAGCAGCGTTTTTGCAACAATAGAGTTACATAGTTACATAGTTAGTCTGGCTGAAAAAAAACAAAAGTCCGTCCAGTTCAACCATTAAAAAAAAAAAAAGTTATAATCCTATACACACAGTTGATCCAGAGGAAGGCAAAAAAAAACCCCCAGCAAAGCATGATTCAATTTGCTCCTGCAGGGAAAAAAATTTCATCCTGATCCTCCGAGAGGCAATCGGATATTCCTTGCATCAACTTTACCTATAAAATGTTCTTATCCAGTTATATTCTGTGTATCTAGGAAACAATCCAGGCCTTTTTTAAAGCAATCCACTGAGCTGGCCAGAACCAACTCTTGAAAGTTCAAAGGAAAATCTGCTGAAATGCATGGTGATGTGTTTTTGCACATTTTTGCCACGGTTTGCATTTTGTATTCTTGTTCTGCCAAGCGAAAAAAAAAATCCACTTTAAAAAAAAAAAGCTGAACTAAATGCAGTAAAAAACATGTCAAAAATGCAGCAAAAAAAGTGTAGAAAAAAGCAAAATGAACTGCGAAAAGCACTGCAAAATGAACAAAAAGCAAACTGTATAGGTGTAAACGTAGCCTAAAAGTACCAGTGTACCTACATCTATCAATGCCCCTCTCTTATATGCTCCCACATTCCCACTGGATTTCTTTTGCTCCCATCCCACTCCCACACTTCCATTTTTAAATATAATCTCTTTCGTGATCCCTGTGTTGGCCCATCGATAATGTCTGTGCCAGATTTTGCACATGTACAATGTGAGATCAGGCACGGAAGGAAAATGCCTTTGTTCAAAATTTTCACAAAATATGCAAAATCTTAAGAGATCTTGTAGTGTATACACAAGGTTTACCTGGAAGACACTGGTGATGTATCCTGACTAGGGTACAACAGATGTCCACCAGTCCATCCTACCAAAGTGATCATGGCATATTCCCCAACTCAAGGAGCCCAACACCAAAATGGTGAAAAATTGGCTATCTTGGCCATTTATTAACAAACGTACCAAAATACCATTCCTTAAAACAGAAACAATAATCAACTAACGTTATGTAAAAGGTTGCCGATCTTAGGAGGCGTCAAATAACCAAAATCAGGTTTGTTTCTGCGTTGCTACTTAACTATCCCAGCCGAACTACTCCGGCTTGGGGACAAATCCACCTCTCCACAGATAAGTCCTTGTTACCACCTCCCAGATAACACACTGTAAAGGAAATTTGTAAATGCTGTATTCTATTTTGTAAGCTCTGCCTATGTACTGTACATTGCCCTCACTGTGCACACGGCACTAATAATGTTTTCATTACATGTTTGCATTCTTTCAAGTCCTGATTAAAAATTAGCTGCCTATGTAATGCTCCTTGTTACCATAAGAGTACAATTGTAATTATAATGGGATACCTACATAATCATGTGTATGAGAAAAAACTTTGAATAAACAGACCTGTGATTTGGAAAGATGCTGAGTGTATCTTTTTATGTCTGTTCCCTACTGCAGTAGTTATTGTTCATTTGGAACCAGTAATCAATATGAGGATAGGAGCTGCCTATCTTTAAATATTTCAGTATTAGTGTCCAGAACAACATAATGGACTGGGATCCAACAGAAGACGCCATACCTTAGATGGGTCCCTACTATGAACTGTTACTAAAAGTTTTCCTGCCTCCGAAGACCCCAAACTACCAATACTTTAAACCAGCACAAACCATTCAAAACAGGGCGGGAGGGTGGGAAGAATCCTTCTTGTCCAATGGCTCTGACTGCTTTGCCACCTTCCAAATCCCACCCCATCTACTGCAGCCTTTGGCCCACCCACTTGCTACAATCTAGCCAACCCAATAAGTCCAACCCTTCCTATGTTGTCACCAAACATTTTTTCTGTAGCCTCCCTGGCGGTATTCCCGAGTGTAGCTCGGGGTAAAGTTTCAGTACCACAAGCAGTAACCCCCGAGCTACACTCGGACTTACCATGCAGCGCTGCTTCGGGATCTGTTCTTCTCTTACCTTGTCCTGCGCTCCTGCGATGTCCCTCCTGCAGTGTCCCCTGTCATGTCCTCCGGCAGATGCCGGCATCTGTCTTCCGGGTTCCGTCCCCTGCGACGTCGGGGCGTACGGGGGACGGAACGGCAGGAAATTTGAAAATGACAAAAAGTGACATTCACTAAATTCACTAAAATCACATAAAACATTAACGTAATGTAAAACATTACTGTATCAAACCATTTCACATACATTTTGTCCCTAGTGCTCTGTCCTGTGCCCCGCCTGCATTTTTTACTGTTGTTTCTGCCTGGAAACTGAGAAAGGTCCATGGTGTCCAAAAAGCGTCCCTTTAGGTCAAAATCAGTTTTAGACCGGCTAGAGAACAGCGATAGTAAATTAGAACCACTTGCAGAATTGAGTGATAATGATTCGTGGGGAAATTCGTCATCAGACACTGAAAACGATTTTGCGACTTTGCTCAGTGATGTACAAACATGGAGCTATATTTCAAATTTCAGTGTTTTTTAGTTTGATTATATTATTGAATTAAAATTATTATTAAATTATTTTTTATGATTATTTATTAAATTATAATTTATGATTTCGTGTTTCAAATTTTAACATACCCGGGATGTTTACTAGACTCTTGTTCGGACAGATTTCAGTGAGTTATTCCTAAAAATGACAGGCCTACAATAAAAAAAATACATATTTCCATGCAATAAAATGTACCGCTTTGAGCACAGAAATATGGACATAATCAGACCGCTAGGAAGGTTAAACCATCATGTTCCCCCTGCCCCCCTAGTCATGTGGCCCTACGCTAATTTTTTTTTTTTTTTTTTTGCTTTTTTTTTTTGCTTCGGGCCTATCTTTCACAAGGTGCATCTCTGATGCACTGACTACATCCCCAGTGTCTCTTGAGACCAGTTAGTGAGATCTAATTAAACACAAGTAAGGGTTAGTTTACATATGAAGGTGGGGGGTGTTACCAATAGGTAGTTGAGCTGAATTTAGACTGCAAAAGCAGCTGGACAGGGTTTTGGACATGCTGCACCCACTATGCTTCACATGCTTCACAATTACCGTCTTCAGATTTCAGAGCAGTACCATAAACAAATGCAATATATTAAAATAAATAGGGCCACACAGCAATGGCAAGCCAAACACAGCCAAACACAAACCTCCCAGTTTAAACAGCCCATTTGGCTGTGGAAAAAAAAAAAAAAAAACCTGACATAAAACGTTCATAAAACGACAGTATCACCATGCCTCTACTGCTCTGTGAAAAGCGCTCCACCTTCACAGAGCGATTCATGTGTGAATGAATTTGTTTCCTCTTGTACCAAATTGTATTGTAACTGTAATGTCTACCTTCATTTTGTAAAGCTCTGCACAAACTGTTGGCGCTATATAAATCCTGTATAATAATAATAATAATAATAAAAAAAAATTAGCCCTAACGCCCATTTTGCTTCACAAAGCATACTACCATGGTTTAAAAAGCATGCAGAGGAGAATACACCACTGACAACATTTTTTTTATGTGTGAGTGTGTGGGGGGGGGTCACTTTAATCTGTTTCTCCTTGCTGCCACCTCTGGTGTATAGGGACTAAAAAAAAACAATGATAATAGCAGGTAAAAAGCTATTCTATAGAATTCTTATGACATTGTTGTTACACTTGCCTGCACTATTCTCTGCAGTATTGAGAGATGCAAGGCTCACGTATATTTTGGGATACTGAATTCATTAGGTTCTATTCACACTTGTGCGGTTATGAGGCAACTTTGGACATGACAAGTTGCAGTCTGTTCTTTTCAATGCACCCGTTCAGATTGGTGCAACTTTTGATGCAACTTAGGTCCAGAGAGTGTAAAGCTGGATCAAAGCCGCGCTCCAAAGTCGCTCAATGAATTCATGCAACTTTGGAGTAGCACAAGTCTGCTTATTACCCTGCTGTTGGCTGAATGAAAGCTCCTTTGACTTTGCAAGTCCCAGGAAGAGATTTTTAGATACATTTCCTCCACCAAAGTAAAAGCATACTATTGTGTCTGGGTCTTCCCCAAGACTAATCCTAAAAGTGGTTCTCAAGGTTTTTTACCATCATGCATTCTATGTGCAGCATCCCCCCCCCAAGCCCCCCTAATACTCACCTTAGCCCCCTCCTCGATCCAGCACTGTGCACTGGACTCTTCGCTATCCCAGGACTCCCTTTCCTCATGGCTGAGACAGAAGCAGGAGCCATTGGTTCCCACCACTGTCAATCGCAGCCAGTGAGCCAATGAGCAGAGAGAGGAGGGAGCCGAGCTGTGTTTGTGTGAGTAGACACAAAGAGCATCGGGTGCCCCTATAGCAAGCTGTTTGCTGTGGGGGCACCCGACAGAAGGGAGAGGCCAGGAGCGCTGGCAGGGGACCCAAGAAGAGGAGGATCTGGGCTGCTCTGTGCAAAACCACTGCACACGCATAGTTGCCAACAGTCCTGAAATGCCCAGGATGCTCAAAGAATTTTGACATTTGTCACGGAGAATTCATGTCCCAGATAGAGTCCTGAAAATTTTGATTTGTCATCGACAGTCAGCTCTGTCCTGTCACATTGACATGGCTGCATGCTGCTGGCGGCGATTCTGTAGACCAATATCCTCTGTCCAGTGTCCAATCACATCCCCCTCAGCCCTGTGATCCCCCTGCCCTCCCCCCTGGCTGGGACTGCCAATCAAAGATGACAGGGAGTCACGTGATGCCTTTCAATGCCCGCCTCTCATTCCTGATTGGTCAGCACTGTGAGGGGGCGTGGCCAGCTGAGGTGACCACTCCAGCCTGCCTTTAGT